TCCCGCCCGAGCATAATACTTAGGAATATACAGAGCTAATTGTAGTTAGAACAGACTAATGACCATGAGGGTTAATTGTTCATCTTAACATTTTAATTAAAAAAGCATAAAATGCACTGGACTCTTAGAGTTCGTCTTTAGAGGTTTTGCTTGTGGTCTTCCTGGAAACTGGTTCAATATAATAATCGCCATCTCCCAAGCTGTCATCATTTTCTTTCTCCGTACTAACTCCATTCTCAGTTTCCACGTTATTTTTCTCCCGTTCCTTGTCGATCAAGTCAGTCATCCGATAGAAACTATTCACAATTTCCTTAATCTTCCCCTGCAGAAAAATAAAAGAAAACATTGCGAAATGAAGGCGAACTACATCATTTTAAATCTGTGGGGTCACATATGATGACGCCAACGAACTCATCCGAGCCCCAGTTTCATTCTTGAGGAACAAAATACACTATTTTTAATATACTCTGTATACCGGCCAGATGGAAACCAGGTTGCTGGGTACAAATCTTTTTCATTTACTCGACTTTCTCCCTAAAATAATTTTTTTTTCCTTCTAAGGGGTTATGTCAAGGCGAGTTCCACATTTTTTGGTTAATTAGTTCAGCTGAATATTTTCGTATTTTTTTTCGACAACATAAAAGTTTTTTCTTTCGTTTTTGCAATTCGTTTAAATCCTGGCCATCGAAGGGCGCAAATTCACCAGTGTGACTGGGTTATATAGTGGGGTAATTTTCAATAAGACTAAACAATTATTTTTCTTATCAACCGATTAATTTATCTATCTAGCAATCGAGTGGGGAAGGTTACGTTCATCGATCTAACAACCGATCAACTCATACCTTAATTGTGAAACTGAGGCAATCAATGTTTTTTTTATACCCGTTCAAGATCGCTGAGTTTGTTTTGAACTGATTGGTCGGTAGGCCAGAGAGAAGAGGCTCCCAGAACGAGGCAGTACTGAACCAGTTGGCAAATGCGACGTGAGGGGAAACGCGAGTACTAAACAACCGCTGCAATAATAGGAACCTGTTCCAAAATGATGTATTTTTCCCGAGAGCTTGACCACTTACCCTGTTATCCTCTTCTTCAAGTACTTGAAGATCAGAAACAGAAAAATGCTTGTCTCGGTCCACATCCATTAGTCTAAACAACTTGAAAAAAGAGAACAATAAACCACTGATAAGGAATCTGCGCGACTTGAACCTCTATAACTTCCATCGCGTTCAAACATCCAATGCCAGCCGTTCATGATCTTGTTTTATATTCTGCGATTTTTATTCGGCATCAGACGTAGCATACGTATGTAATAACACCAGTTTCCGTTTTTAAACACTTAGAACGTTTTGAGTAAAACTCACAAAAAGTTAATTAAATCAAGACTGCATACCAATAATATCCCAAGCTTCTAACAGTGAAAGTAGCAACTTCAGCTTTTAAGTACTTTCCCTCGCTTTTGCAGGAAGTTTTCTCGTTTGACCTCGGTGAATCTATAACTAGAGCAAACTCTATCGAAATTGTTCTTTTTTAATACTGTACATGTTCCGCGGAGCTAATGTCGTATTAAATCCCATGTTAGTCGACTGAGTGATCGTCAGTGAGTGCTGAATTTCACGCCTAAAATAGCTACACCTTCCGTAGTCCCCAGTCTGCGTAGTCCCAACACTTTAAATTTCTAAATTCTTCTTGAACTTAACACCCTTGCTCTGTTACCTTCCTAGCTGTTGCCTTCAGTTCTTCAGTCCACTCTGTCAAGTCGTTATTAAATAACTGAGGATCCTAAGAAAAAGTCAGTAAAACTAGAGATTAAAACCAGCATTCCCGGGCATACCGTAATGATCTAATAAGCATCCTCTCTCAAATAAACGCCTCCCTTGCGCTTTAAATTTTGTATTAGACGTCCCTCTCTAATAAACGCCCCTGTCTAATAGAAGCCCACATGACAATTACTCAAAAATGTCAGGAAATAGCAAAAAGGAGCAAAATCATTCAATTTAGTCAGCCCCTTGCTTGATTAACAAGGGTTTCGTGTTGCATCTTGTTCAAAGTAAAGTTCACAGACAGACGACTAACGATGGTAAGACAATGACCCTGAATGAGTATTCTGACGTCGAGGTTGATATTTGAAGAGTGATATGGACCATTAGTAGATCATTTACTGTATACATGTAAGATACCTAAGATACCACCCCTTTTTCAAGTACTTTGCCGATAATTTTCAGCGAAACATATGGAGAAGGAGTTTTAAGAAGGTGCCTTTCTATGAAAAACGACCTCGAGAAACTCCTCGAGCTCCGAACTTCTCTTCGAGTACATTTTCTTGAGAATTTAGGAAGGCCCAAGTGAAGCTCACATTTTTACATCTCAGAGGCTTCAGAAACCTTTTCCTGAACCTTTATAAACGCAATCGATTGTTTCTCCCCCGGGGGAATACTCCCCTATACGGGGTGGCTCCGCCCGAAGGGAGTACCTATTTTAGGCTTCAGGTCTATGAAAGGGTAGGGAATCTGTCATTTCGGTCTGTAAAAAGGCCTAAAAGGGCTAGAAGATGCATTTTATGGCTGTGAAAAAGTCGAGAAAACGATGTGGTTCTGTGATTTATTCATATTCATGCAGTGCATTTACAGCAGTTAAATGGGATGCAAAGTTCTAAAATAGGTATGTGAAAGGGGTACCATTTCAGTTGTTAATAGAAGGTATATGAAAGGGTCCAAAATGTATATAACAGGGTAGTGGGGGGTTGAGCCTCGCGGCGAAGCCTCAAGTCAGTATAAAACTTTGTTGAGTATCCCCAGGTCCTCTTCACATGACTTTATTACGGCGGTCATGTTGGTGTACCAAACATTCTTGTGCGAGACTGAACTCTTTTCTCACGTAACGACTTTGCCTATTGTGTTTTCCACATTAATCCGGAATAATTTCTTATAAAAACTGTTCTACCTGCACATGGAGAATTTATTTATACGCCTAAAAAATCACCAGCTGACAATCAATACCTTTCTTAATCTTCTTACAAATATCCTGTAGGAAATTTCGTTCATTTTCCGAAGATAGCTCTGCAAATAGTTTCTGGAAAAAGTTGTTCATCCATTGTTAGATTAGTTTTGAACAATATACATGAAAAATCGCAATTATTTTATTCAGACGATTTGTTTACAAGCATTCCTCGACAGGTATAGAACACTCACAGGGTATCGACAGGACAAACCACGTGTTCCAGAAAAAAATGAAATAAAAACATTAGTAATAATGATTACTAACAATAAAGAAAACGAATAGGTAGACACAATTATTGAACAATAAAAAGAGTGGAGATAGCGTACGATAGTAAGAGCTAGCAAACAAACATTGGATCAAACTCAAAGTGAGCAGCAAAATACTTAGTATGACCATCAGTACCAGTGAGATTAATTTAGAAAACTGCTCTTTCAATTGTCCAGCATTTCCTTTTCACTTATTCCATTTAGTCAAAGAGGTGATCTTCAGCATTCATTTTGCAGTTCTTATAAGTTCTAGTCAATTTTTCAACGAATATTATTTCTTCTTGATTATTTTGTTTTGATGATTATTGTTGATGTAAATTAACCACATTTTTGAAAAGACCCGTACCCTAGACACGAATCTAAAGAGCATA